GAAAAGATGAAACTTCAAGGTGAATAATAAATTATGTCAAAAGAGAAAGCCAATTTGGCTGAGACTGCCGATTACAGTATCTTTATCATTGGTGTTTTCATTTGAGATTTTAAATACATTGGACAAATGAGCAGGTACCTGCAGACCCTGGTCTTATTTGGTTTTTGTCTTAGCAATGGTTGTGATTTTCCTGAGGTGCTGGCCTGTTTTTATTTTATGGACACTGAAGGGTATTTCTAACTAGATGTTTCTTTCTGAGTTGACTGCTGACAAGCATACAGCCAAATTAGAAACCACAGCAAGTCCATCAGTAGGTAGGCACTCAGCTGCAAGTAAGAGAAGTTCTCACTAAAAGTGTCTTAAACAACGAATACATTCTTTTCTAACAACTCCACAACTCTATTAAATCAATCATGGTTCATCCTCTAGAAATAAGCATAGGACAACTGATACTGGAACAAAATGAGGATTCTGTAGAAGAAAGAGCAGATGGCTGTTGGGTGAAATACCAGCAGTGTTTGCTTGCAGTGTGTTGGTCCTGTACAAAAGGCATCTTTTAATTGGTTTCATTCCTCTGTCCATTTCCTGTCTCTATCCTTATTTTTTCTTTGAATTTTTACTTTCTTTATAATTTACGTTATCTTGCCGAAGTTTGCATGTTTTTTTATAATGTCTTAAATTATTCCTGGAAGAAGTCTATAAATAAGTACAATCGTAGAAAAAAGATTACGTATATATGTGTTGTCTATAAAGGTATAATAATTTTGATATATAAAGGTATTCATCACTTTGTCAATGTTCAATGAAAATTTGTTTTTATTTTATTTTATGAACAGGGCACCCAGTAAGACTTGATTTTTTTTTGTTTTTGTTTTTAAGGTAGAGACGTTATTTAAAAGTAGCTAGGAATTTCAGGGAGCCACCAGTTCATTTTTTGAACTTTCTGTGTTTTAAGAAAAATGACTTTAATTGTCTTTTCAGTTTCTCAAACACAAAGCAAGAGAAAGCCATTTGCTTGAAGACGGAGATGTTAATTTTTCTCACTAGTTACCTAAACTGACTGTGTCTTTAGTAGGACTGGGCCCTTGCGACCCTGGCAAACGTTTTTCTTTTTCTCTAATATCAAATTGGACTGGCAGATACCTCAAAATTACTGTGTGTTCTTAGAAGATGAGTGTATTGCTCTTTCAAGTGTATGCTCACTGGTGCCACAGACCAGGTAGGACGAGGCCTGGAGGCAGGCAGGCCTGATAGTCCCTTCACCTCACACTGCAGGGAGAACTGTGACGAGCACCACCTGGCTGGTTGGCTTTGCCCTGTCAGATGATATGCAACATTGAGTCACACCTGGACCTGGCTTCATTTACAAATGAATAACACAAACTACTTGTAATTGCCTTGTCAGGCCTAAGAGGCACAGTCATTCATTCAATAATTGTTTTTTAACATCTCCTATGTGCTTGTCTGGAAACCCTGGTAGCATAGTGGTTAAGTGCTACAGCTGCTAACCAAAAAGTCAGCAGTTCAAATCCACCAGGCACTCCTTAGAAACTCTATGGGGGCAGTTCTACTCTGTCCTCTGTCACTATGATACGGAATCAACTCAATGGCAATGGGTACAAATGTGCCCTGGTGATGCAGTGGTTAAAGCAATCGACTGCTAACCAAAAGATCAGTGGTTCAAAAACACCAGTGGCTCCGCAGGAGCAAGATATGGCAGTCTGTAGAGATTTACAGCCTTGGAAACCCTATGAGGTCGCTCTGAGTCAGAATTAACTCCATGGCAGTGGGTTTGGTTTTTGGTTTATGTGCCAGGCACGGAGTCCTTGGTGGCAGAAACGGATAAATGCTCGACTGCTAGCCAAAAGGTTAGCAGTTAGGACCTCAGAAGACAGGCCTAGCGATCTGCTTCCAAGAGGTCACAGCTTTAAAAACCCTATGGAGCAGTTCTGCTCTGCACCTATGGGGTTGCCATGAGTCGGACGCAACTCCACGGCACCTAACAACAACCACGTGCCAGGCACTGTGCTGGGTGCTGGGGAAACACAATGAGCAAAATCAGATGTAGACCCTCTTCTCTCACGGAGCTTAGGCTCTTCTAAGGAGATGGCATTAACTTAATAACCACGGAGCTCAGGCTCTTCTGAGGAGATGGCATTAACCTAATAACCACTTCACTGAATGCAAAGTGGAAAACTAAGGAAAGTGTTCAGAGGGAAGAGATTTCTGATGTGTAAAATCTCACAATAATGGATCAGAGAGTCAGGAAGAGGCTTCTCTGGGGAAGAGACAGTTAACCCTTTCGTGACTCATAGAACATACCGAATCCCAACCACTTTTTATGGCTCTGCAGTTCTTTGGGAGGATACTTTTCCCACTGAAAGTATTTGCTTCCCTCCAGTGAGGACTTGTGTAATGGTGAAAGGCAAAAGAAATGTTCGTTGAAGCAAAATAGCTAGGGTATTAGGCAAAGCCAGAGACGCTCCACGTACCCAAATGGAAGGCACTTTGCAATAAAGCCTGCTCCCAAGACTGGTGGGCCAGACGATCTCCCACAAATCATGTATTTTCACATACTATTTCTCAAAATCTATATTATCAACCAAAAATTTAAACACACTCAGTGACTCAGCCTGCATTCCACTACTAAAAACGCATAGTATCAACAAAAAATTCAAAGCAGAAAGTAATTGGGTCTGGAAAGGGTTAAGCTGAGGGAGGAAGGCTGAGCAGGAGATAAGCAGGAAGAAGGCTAAGCATGTGAATCGTGAATGGAAGTGGAGAATGTGCCTGAGGGACACAGGA